CGCATTTTTAGGGTCATTCACATCAAGAGGATACACACCTGCTTACACGCCGTTCTTGGTTCACCTGATATATGTCTCCTCTGAATATAGACTTAATGTGAACTACGACAAAGCATCCGTTTATCCCATCTCTTCTTGAAGCGCTTATACATTTACCGGTATACGATACTTGTAATCGGTATACGATATTTAACCGGTAAACGATACTTAACCTTGTGTGTTGCGTTAATAATTTTTTCAGGTTACTTGGAATTGAATTTTCAATTATGATGGTTCATTGAGTTTGTTAGTATATATTTTTTTATGTTTTAGATTTATATTAGAATTCAGTTAAAAGCGTATTGGGAACTGTTTATTTTTAATGTGTGATGTGATTTTTTTAATTTTTTTTATTTTTTGTTGTCGGTGATTAAATTTTTTTTATTCTGTATGTTATAAACAATTTGGTTTTCTTCGTATTTTCAGGAGGCATCATTACTTAAAAGCTCGTCTAGTGATAAGGTAAAAGTAACATTGTATTCTTATGTTTTAATTATTATTATTTTTTGAAATCTTGACTAACTGACTGACTGAGCCATTAACCCACTGATCGAACCTGTTATCTTCTCACATCACATGCATGAAAAAAAAATCAAAAAATACTCAAAAGAACCACCAAAGACATAAACTTACAAAAATAATGTTTTATCAACCTAACCTAACCTAACCTAATCTAATCTAACCACAAAAAATGGTACAAGTACACGACAATAATACTCTAACAAACTACTATCACACTAGCTGGCTAGACCACATTAAAATGATAATCTGGATTCCCTATCGTCTTCTCTAATCATTGCACGAACTAATGTCGAGCGAATGGCCTCCGCAATTTCATTATAACTTGTGCGTGTAAAGATGGCCGACGCTCTCAGTTTTAGGAAGTTGGGTGGGGGGGAGTGTTGGGTGGGGAGAGGGGGATGGGGAGGGTAGAGAGGAGTAGGGAGAGGTGGTGTGGGGGAAGGTAGGTGAGGGAGAAGTAGGAGGGGGCAGGAAAGTTAGGGAGAGGGAAGGTGTGAGGGGAGGTGGGAGGGAGGTCGTGATGGTGAGGGAGGTGGGGAGGAGGTCGTGATGGTGAGGGAGGTGGGGAGGAGGTCGTGGTGAGGGGGAGAATGAGATCGTGATGGTGAGGAGGTGGGGAGGAGGTCGTGATGGTGAGGGGAGGTGGGAGGAGGTCGTATTTTGATGGTGAGGGAGGTGGGAGGAGGTCGTGATGGTGTGGGAGGAGGTCGTGATGGTGAGGGGGAGGTGGGAGGAGTTGTGATGGTGTGAGGGGGAGGTGGGAGGAGGTCGTGTGGGGGAGGAGGTGGGGAGGAGGTCGTGGTGAGGGGAGATGGGGAGGAGAGTCGTGATGGTGAGGGGAGGTGGGGAGGAGGTCGTGAGGAGGTGGGAGGGGTCGTGATGGTGAGGGAGGTGTTGAGGAGGGAGGTCGTGAGGGAGGTGGGAGGAGGTCGTGAGGGAGGGTGCGGGAGGAGGTCGTGGTGAGGGGAGGTGGGAGGAGGTCGTGAGGGAGGTGGGAGGAGGTCGTGAGGTGGGAGGAGGTCACTGATGGTGAGGGGAGGTGGGGAGGAGGTCGTGAGGGAGGTGGGAGGAGGTCGTGAGGGGGAGGTGGGGAGGAGGTCGTGATGGTGGTCTGCACGCTGGTCACCCACAGACTGCCTACTCCTCCTGATATAACCAAATTGGGTCCCGTTGATAAGGTCAGGAGTTTGTGTTGATCTGTTCATGCACTACACACTGCAGATGTTGTGTGTGAACAGTCTGATTGTAATACACATCTGATTGTACAGTACTACGAGCTTTGTAGGATTTTTTCATGTATGTATGTATGTATACTTAATAATAAGTACTGTTCGTTTTGTGTAAATTTGTTGATACTGTGAATTTCGAGATGTTTTTGGTTTAAAAGCACACACACACACACACACATATTTTTCCCCTTGAGGTCGGTGTGTGTGTGTGTGTGTGTCAATAATAATAACAATAACTAATAATGTGTGTGTGTTTCCAGGAATCATTATCTTATTGGATGATATACCTATATTAGAATATTACTGAATAATCATAACATTTTTTTATTATTGTATTTTTTCAGGTACATTTTTTTCCATGCACATGTGTACGATTTATGAAATTCCTGTCGGATTTTTAATTTTGAAATGTATATCATATAAAACCTTTCCACGAAGATGAAATAGTTTTTATCATTGTTGATTTATTAATACGCTGCATAAAAAATAATAAATTTATATATAAATGAAAAATATATAGATACACAGGTATGTATCTTAAAATATTATACGAAGAATATTTCTTTCAATAATTTCAACATCAGCGAATTAAATATATTTCGTCATTCATGTCTAGTTATGAGGAATAAATGACTAATTAAACAGGAAAAAGGTAATAAAAAGAAAAAAAGAAAGGATTGTTACATCACGACAAACTGGCTTCAACAGAACATCATGAAGGTTAGAGGAAATGATGATATTTGTTTTGATTTTTAATATTATTCTAAACAGGTGATGAGAGAGACGACAAAGAAGGGCGCTGCTAGGGAAAGGGGTGCGCGAGCTGAATTAGTTAGTTAGTCAGGTAGTTAATTTAGTCAGGTAGTTAGCTTGGTTAGTTAGTTGGTTAGTTAGTTAGTTAGTTAGTTAGTTAGTTAGTCAGGTAGTTAGTTAGTCAGGTAGTTGGCTTGGTTTGGTTGGTTAGTTAGTTGGATTGGTTAGTTAGTTAGTTAGTTGGTTAGTTAGTTAGTTAGTTAATAGATCTGGAGTAGTTAGGTTAGTCAGGTAGTTAGCTTGGATTTGGTTAGTTAATTAATTAATTACTTAGTTGGTTAGAGGAAGTCAGTCGGTCCATAGCTAGCCATCATAAAAGACCCGACTCTCGTTTACAAACACAGACGTCGAGTTTTGGAAATTTAGAGTTTTTTTATTTATTTTTTCGTATCGACAAAATTGGGTTTCCAAAAAAATAGGAAAGAGGTTTAAAAATATCGATAGTGAATTGTTGCTGTTTCCTCTGGTGTGCATTTAAGGTCTACAAAAATCCTTACTGAAGTGCGCGAGAACTGGGATACAATATTTTACTTATTTTTTTTTGGTGTGTGTGTGTGTGTGTGTGTGTGTGTGTGTGTGTGTTTGAGGCCACGTGATTATTAAATCTATGTTATTTTCACTTCAGATCAACAACGCTAATGAGGAGACTGAGTGACAGGGGAGTGAAAGAGAGTGGGTGACAGAAGTGGTAGAGTGGGTGACAGAGGTGAGGTGAGTGGGTGGCGGGGTAGTGAGGTGGAGTGGCGAGGTGAGGAGAAAGTGGGCGACAGGAATTGAGGAGTGGGTGTGGCAGGAATGAGGAGAGAGTGGGTGGCAGGGAGTGAGAGGAGTGGGTGGCCGGAAGTGAGGAAGTCCCGTGTTTACACTTGGTTCCGGTTACTCAGTGTTATAGAGACTTGGTGATAACGATAAAAAAAATAATAAATAATGATTTTAAGAAGCTATCTGGGGCATGGTAGTAGTAGTAGCGTTAGTAGTAGTCATAGTAGTAGTAGTAGTAGTGGTAGTCAGACCTGTGCCTCAACTCGCTGCCATACGCGACGTTGTAAGACGCGTACGCAGATGACATTTCCAGTGACTTGATTGGTAGTGAACAAGGGCCTTTAGTAGCAGTTCATATCTGTCATCTACATAACTGGCATAACGTCACACACCGCCGAGGATATGGCGTGTTCATCGACAGGAGGAACTGAGTTATGAGAGAAAGGGGATTTCTCGTGCATAAAACGTAACAATGATTATGATGTTCACTCGAAATTAATATGGAGAAAGTGTTTGATTGGAGGTGCTCGGTGGAGAATTTTATAGAGTGGAAAATGGGGAGGGGGTGGTGTCGATGAAATACTATTGTAATAATAATAATAATAATAATAATAATAATAATAATAATAATAATAATAATAATTAACGGTTTATTGAAAAAGTTATGCAGCCCGTAGGCTGATAATATACACTGGACATAAATGACTTATTGCATACATTGACGTTGGTGGTTTAACAAAAGCCTTCATTAGAGAAAGGTAAAGGAACATACAGATTAATGTAGGTGTTGAACAGCATACACGTAGTGTAGTAACTCACTTCCAGATGGTATTAGGAGGGACCTCACGTGGTGTAGTAATTCCCTCACAGATGGTGTTATGAGGGGCATCACGTGGTGTAGTAACCCCTTCACAGATGGTGTTATGAGGGGCATCACGTGGTGTAGTAACTCCCTCACAGATGGTGTTATGAGGGACCTCACGTGGTGTAGTAATTCCCTCATAGATGGTGTCATATGAGTGAGGTGTGGTCCCATGCCTTCCTATCGTGGATGGATTAGCACATCGCTGGCTGTTGTTGGGTCTTACGGGCAGTTATCACTGGGTACCTGGGACCTCACTGTGTGAGGCTGTTACTGTTGAGTTGTTCTCACTAACTTAAACACTGTTCACCACTGTTTACCTTTGTTCAACACTAGTTCCATTTCTTTCCTAAATGAGATTGTAACTTCTGGCGAGAGCTTATTGATATTCCAGTGGGGAGGAGGGGTTCAGGGGAGGGAGTTGGTATGGGTCAACATAACAGTTGACCTGGCTGCTCCCAGAGGAGCGCCAGGTACGTCTTGACCCTTCAGTGGTCAAGGATGTGTGTGTGTGTGTGTGTGGATCACCAGTTGGCTGTTGTTGTGTGTGTGTGTGTGGATCACCAGTTGGCTGTTGTTGTGTGTGTATGTGAGTGTGTGGATCACCAGTTGGCTGTTGTTTTGTCGTCCAAGCAACTCCGCCTGTTTACCACAAAACTTTGCATCAAAACACCTTCGGTAACTGTCGCTCGCAGTGGCCTCCGGCACACACACACACACACACACACACACACACACACCAAAAACAAATCCGTGTCAAGCTTCACCAAGAAGTTTTGTAATGAGAGGGCAATAGTGTATTTGATTCCTCGTGTCGTAATTGTCACTCTGTGGGAGGGAGGATGGGAGTTAGGGTGGGAGGGTGGGAGTTAGGGTGGGAGGGTGGGAGTTCAGCAAAACATTTCGTTATGGCTCAGATCACAACACAAAGTCAGGCTGAAAATATTGGACTTTAGATCTGTGTGGAGGAAGTTCAGTAATACTCTTGCTCTCTTACACTACCGGAGACGCACACCCGCAGCCTGAGATGGTAATGTTGTGTATCCCTCCTCCACATTCCTTCACTGGCAGCCTCGCATTGCTCTGGTAATCCACGACTTTTTCTCAGAATCATCAACAAGGTATAGGATAGTAATAAGCTCCAGCCAGCACCAGAATCTGAGGCTGAATCTTTCGCCGATGCAATTACTCAGTCGGAAAAAATTGCAATATTGTGTCTCTGCAACGTGACGGGGTGTTATGATACGGATGCAATAGTTAAGCCAGGTCAGTATCGCCGTGGAAGGATTTGCCAAGGGGTTTATGTATAGTGTCCGGTGAGGAGTGTTGAAGTTTGGTCATTACAGGCACAGCAAGTCTTCTCCTTGGCTCTGTCTCGTTGTGGGGTTGCTGGGTGACGCAGGGGGAGACTGTGCTATTATTACTTAAAGCGAGGGTGAATTCTCTCTCCCTCTCTTACTTGCTGGAGCCGAGAGTCACAGGGGTTCCTTCATGACGAGCTGGATCGGAGATGTGATGATTGCTTGGTGTGTATTCCGTGCACTTGTCCTCCCCTCACGTTGACCTTTGATGTCCTGGACCGGGTTTTTCATTTTGTTAATTAACTGCTTCCCGAACTAGTTTTTCCTCAACGTTATTATGGACGAGGGAAAAAAAAACATGAGAGTGTGACGTATGTAAATTAGCTCTACTGACAAAGTGACCTGTTTTCATGTCAGGGGTTAGTTACCTTGATCACCGCGTAAAAGGAAGATCAAGACATGAATTTAGTTGTGTGGTTAGAGGGGATAACATCACATATACGTAAAGAGCTGTCGGCTGTAGTCTTTTTGAAAATATGTAAGACAGAAGGGAATACGGTAATGAGACACACGGAATGGGAACTAACGCGGACCAAGAGCTGTAACATGATAAAGAATGACGTGTCTTGCGGTGCGGTGGGTGTGAAAAGAATGAGGATGATGGATTGGATTTCACTGACACTCTGACCATGGACACAGCGGCAGAAAAAATAGAATGGGAGGAGCTGCATCGTCTGATATACAAGGGAGTTGTAGAGAAATGAAGGACAGGTGAGGAACGAGGCGAATAACATGGTAGATGGTATTTGATGTCACTATGGGTGGTGAATTCAACAGTGATATAAAGAGATCATGATATTATTATTATTATTTTTTTTTTAGAACTTTGTGTAGTTGTGATAACGATAGACGCAACAGCTGAAGGAATATTTTTGAGGAGGAAATACAAAAAAAAAAAATCTTTCCCCAGAACAGATCATGGTTTGTAGACTTTAAGACTTTAGAGGTTGAAGGTTTGAACTAAGGGGAGATGAAAGCACCCTTGCCCCCTCATCCTTAACGTAAGAAGGCAGGGATGAGTATAGTGTATAGTCGGAATTGGTTTAGGATGAGTTGTCGTAAGCTGGTAGGAGGGGAAAAACTTGGAGTATGTGGAAGAAATTGAATATAGCGGAGACGTGATGGTTGAAGATGGTAATATAGATATAGCGTAATGTTAGGGTGAATGGGTGTTTTATCTCGGTGAATGAGAATTGTTATTGACTTTCGGGAACTGTTTACTTATTCTTGTTTGTGTTTGTAAGAGAGAGAGTAGGAAGGATTCATCCAATCAGCTCCGGCTTTATTACTCTCTTGAGATTATTTGCCCGCTGATTGGCCAACTTTCCGATGCACTGTTATGAGGCGTGGATCAATGTCTGGCCATTAGTCAAGTGTGTTGCAGAGACACTTTTGTAACCTGGATCTTTCTGTCAACCTGTTGATAATGGATGCCTGCACTAGCCCAAAGCAACAAACCTAAACTAACAACATAACCTAACTTAAGCTGACCTAACCAAACCTAACCTAATCTCACCTTCCCAATCCAACCTAACCTAACCCAAGTGAACTTACCCGAGTAGCCGACGATGTAAGGGCGGTTGGCGAAGAGCGGTGTCCTTGGTCTGGTCACCTCTCCCATTATTCAGTCTGGAAGAGGTGGAAAGGTGGTGTTAGGATTCTGTTCCACGACGGAGGGAAAAAAGGAGAGAAGGAAGGAGGGAAGGGAGGGGGGAGGGGAGGGGAGAAACGTGTGGGATGATAGGTGGGGAGAATGGAAGGGTGGGTGGGTAAGAGGAAAAGTGGATGAGCAGTGGGAAGGTGAGTTGGAGGGTCGATGGGGGAGGGGGGTGGAGGAAGGAGAATGGAAGGAAAGAAGGAGGGAGGGAGCGATTGAAGGAAGGTGGTTGTGGATATAATAGAAATAAAGATAAGAATAGGAAGGATTGGCAAAAGGAATGGAAAGTAGTAGGAGGAGACAAGAAGGGGGACGGAGGGCGGAAGAGAGAGAGAGAGAGAGAGAGAGAGAGAGAGAGAGAGAGAGAGACAATCGTATATATATAAGCCAAGTGCCACAGAAATACTGACAGTCAGACAGATACAAATTGATAGACAAAACAACAAAACAGAGGGTCGAATAGATAAACAGATGGGTAGAAAAACAGACAGACAGACAGGCGAATAAACAGACAGACGGAAATAAACAGACAGACAGGCAGGCGAATAAACAGACAGACGGAAATAAACAGACAGACAGACAGGCAAATAAACAGACAGACAGACAGACAGCAAAGCACGTAACAAGCCAACCACCGCATCATATTAACCATTCATCCGAAAGAAAACAAAAACAAATGGAAAGTTAATGATGAAAAAAAAAATCCAATTCTTTCCAATTATCCGTCAGATGAGAAAATTATTATATATTATTTTTTTTTTTTTTTACCTTTACAAGTTAATCATCCACATTCCTTTGGAGACTAATGAATCCCTGAAGAAAGTTAACTGCGACGTGAAAGGTAAAAACAAGGAGAAAGTTGTCGAGGTATGAAGAGGGGGAGAAAGTTGTCGACATATGAACAATTAGAAAGTTGTAGAAAAATGAACAATTAGAAAGTTGTCGACATATGACAGTCCAGTATCGGTAAATCGGGAAGACCACAGGTTACTCGTATTGGAATCGGTTCATATAATCGCATTATTTGACCGGTGCGTCGTAAATATCTGAATATAAGTCTTGTCATCAGAAAATCTATCAGTATCGGTTCTTCTACCCCAGTATCGGTTCCTCTACCCCATTACCGATTCATCTACCCCAGTATTGGTTCATTTACATCAGTATCGGCTCATCTACCCCATTATCGATTCATCTACCTCAGTATCGGTTCAATTACATCAGTATCGGCTCATCTACCCAGTATCGGATCATCTACCCCGGTATCGGTTCACCTACTTCAGTATCGGTAAATTTCTATCAGCGAGGCCGAAGATTAATTCCAGCTTGACCATCAACAAGTCGCTTTCACTTCAGATTTCTTGCCACAAGTATCGGATATAGGCTCTGGCATTTTTTACGATAACTTGTTGGGGATTCCGATTACATGTTGACCAAAAAACTGAGTACAATCTGGAAGCTGAACCTGATGGCTTGTCGAGAGAGGGTGAGTGGGAAGTATGAGTGGGGGAGAGGTCAGGGATAGGGGGTGAATGTGGAGTGTTGGAGAGGGGAAAAGGAGTATCGTACAGGATGAATTGACAGAGAGGGAGTGGGAATCGGGGGAAGAGGATGAATGGTGAGAGAGGGAGTAGAGGTTGAGAAGGAAGAAGGAAATGAAAGCGAAAGAGTATAAAGGGTTAGAATGTGAGAGAGAGAAGGGAAGGGAAGGGGAGCGAAAGAGAGGGAAGCCGAGATAGACCAAAAATATCCCCGTATATCCCGTCTTGGGTAAAAATATCCCGACTTCGGCCAGAAAAAAAGTATCCCCCCCCCACCCTGACCCCCTACTCCCCCTCCAACCTGACCCCCTGCTCCCCCTCCAAACTGACCCCTACCTCATCCCCCTCAACCCCTACCCTACCGCCTCCTTGACCCATGTACCCAGAAAATAAAATTGTGATCGTAAAAAGATTAAATTTGAAAAGTTTACACCTAGAGGAAACCCCATAAGCCGTGTTTTATTTCAGGCTAAATTAAGTTTGTCAGGTGTAGGTAAGAGTCCCCCGTTTTTTGTGTTCTACTTCTTTTGGTGTTTGTTCATTTATTTTTTTTATTTTTATTTTTTTAGGAGGGGGAGGAGGGAGAGAGGGAGGGGTAGGAGCGAGAGAGGGTGGGAGGAAAGTAAGGGAGGTAGGAAAAGGTGGGTGGGAGAAGTGGAAATACGGGAGGAGAGGGAGGAAAGCCAGGGAGGGAGGGTGTTGTGGAAAAGTTGGTAAATAAAGAAGGTGACACAAAACTTGGAAGGAGATGTGAGTGAGTGAGTGAGTGAGTGAGTGAGTGAGTCAAAATTGGTGTTCATAGAGCTGGATACCACTGTTTAATAAGGGAAAAATATATATTTGTAACTGACATTAACTAAGAACTGTTCACTATACTCAAGATGATTCCCACCTCCTTTCACTCCCATTCCCCTTCCCTCCTTTTCTCCCTCTCCCCTCCCTTTCACCCTCCCTCTCCCCCTCTCTCCCTCCCTCATCGTCTTGTAAGGAAGGTGGCCTGTATGGGAATTGAGGTGAGGGAAGTTTCAATTTTACCTAAGTGGAAGATAAAATGCAAATTATGTATGTATGTATATCGCTTAAGGGGGATAAAAATAAAATGACTTCGGGGAGGGAATATTGAGTTGGGGGGGAGGTAGAGAGGGAGGGAGGTAAGGAAGACGATAAGGAGGCAGGGATGGAGGGGGTGAAGGATGGTGGGAGGTAGTGGAGAGTAA